ACACACACACACACACACACATATCTTTCGTAATTTTGCATCACCTTTACTCGAATCACGCACACATGATAATTCAAAGGACATTTCATATGGAAATATTTAAATATATATAGCTATAAGATTGATTAATGAAATTATTAGCAAATCATTTTTTTTCTCTTATTAATAATTATACAACTCCTGTGTTACACACCGACGTCACCGAAATGTGAAAAGTTTCAAAAACTTTAAAATCACAACATTTTGAATGATTTATTAATCTACTGTATGCTACCTCGAACGTGAAAATGAAAGAAATTGAGTCCTATTTCATTTTGAAAGAAAATAGCTGGAATTTGTTACTACTGGAAATTATATCAATGCCTTTAAATTCTCCTTTGCTAACACGCAAGAATAAAATCACTTTAATATCGACGTCGATAGGCCTCGAAGAGAATTGATATTAAAATTATCTTTTCATCCCAGGGTCTGATTAAATCCGAGCAGGCGTCGAAAAAAGAGAAGAGCAACTCTTTAGGCAGAATGCTGAAGTTGGTAGATAAAGACGGCTCGCCAAGGAAGATGTTCTATCCTCGCGCAGGCTCTCTCAGCCGCATTTTACGTCGGAATCCTAATAATGAGGACACTGATGACAAAAAGCACGTCGAGGAGAATTCACCTGGGATATTCTCGAGAATGCTGAACCAGTTGAGAGGAAAGTAAAAAACAACTGGGAATTGTACAACACGTTATATGCATGTAACATGTTGCACATAATAGTTCATAAATATTAAATTATTAGATGTTCTTGCCCGAGCACATGATGCAAAACAAAAATGGAAATACATGACTTGCTACAAGTGAAGTCAATTAAAGAAAATTAGACGGAAAACTCGAAGAAATCTGAATCTGAATTCTATCATTTATGTAACACACGCGTAACATTGAATAATGGCAAATATAATAAATATTAAAAATCGAATTCAACGAATATCAAAACTAATGAACGTAGACAGATTCTAAATGAATTCAAATATCTCAAGTTCATAAAATAATAAGATTTCAATGTTGATTTTGTCGTTTCAAATATTTAAACTACAACTGTAATATCGAGTATCAAAGTTCTTCGTAACCTACGATTCGAAATGAAATAATTCTTAGAAACTGCCGAAAACTTCTCAATGAGTTTTCAGATTTATATATCTCGCCTTTCTATAAATGTCGTAATACTTATGAACAACGTGTGTTACATATAACGTTAACAAACCACGGCCTCTTCCATTCTTTCTCTACAGAAATGATCACCACTTCCGTTTAACTTTTGCCATTTATATGAGAGAGTGTTTCGTACAAGCAACAATGAATCATAGTTAGCTGAAAGTAACAGAATTACCGGGAAACCAGCTTCATACGTCGTCTGTTTGTTAGAGGAGAGATATATATGTACTTAAGGGAGGTAAATCCTTCAGAAAGTTGACTTCGAACAGAGAAATCGATAGATTAAAACTTTTCACCCGATAATTCCGTCGATACAGTTTTCTTCTTTTCCGTTTAGTTTGTTATTTCTTAATCATCAGAAACCAAAGTTGCCTTTGACGTTCCATTTCAACTGATTTATGCCATCAAATTCCAGTTTTTGACATTGAAAATTGTAAACGAGAGTTTCGTTTGATGATCGTTCACTGTTATGTCTTTTATGAATTTTTCTGCTTATGAAAGTTTATAAAATGAAGGAACTGAAGTACTTGTGATATTACGACTCACAAGTACTCACAAAATTAATGGCAACTGTTTGTTGCGAAGGCAGATTTAAGTCTGGAGTCTAGATAAATTCGTTTCTTCCGCGAAAAAAATCCGTTCTTAGATTTTCTCGTTTCGGGACAGTGGAAAATTATGGAACGTTTCATGGTCGTGTTCAATAGCAAGCAAAGAAAGGTCGATGTCGGTGAATGAATAATAGATGAAGTGAAATCACTATTCGTTGAAAGAAGGATCAGTTCAGGATAAAAAGAGAGTCGAATATATCTGCGATTAGACTACGAGTCTTTACACCGATCTTCAAATTCTTGTAAACACAGTCAAGCAAATAGAGCCTCGAGTAGAAATTTTTTTTTCACTACTACAATAAGATATTATAAATAAAATGTACTCTGCTTTCGTTACGTTCATTTTTGTATCTTTAAATCTCACGAAAATTCACAATCTCTCTCTCTCTCTCTAATCAATTCCTATCGCGATCTCTTCAATGTTCAGAGAATCATTTTCAAATTGTTATATTACAGGATGGTGAACTGTTTAATGAAATTCCAAAGTTACAGAGAGTTGATCAGTAATTGTGTAATTATGTACTGAAGTTATAAATTGGAATTTTTGCTGGATTTCACACCTCGTATACAATTTCCTAACAATCAATCACGTTAAAACTCAAGTTTCGTTTTAGTTAGTGAAAACAAGTGTCGTCGTATGTAATAGGGTTTTTCCAACTACATTAGAAACTCTTATTTAATTTCTACGTAAAATGAACATACATAGTAAATGGTATCGTGAGTTCTCAGCATGCAACAATTGGTACACAGTAGATTATAATAAATAGTTCACTTTCAATGAATTTTCGATCCGTACTTAAAATAAAAATTGTATTAGCTACTTTAGCTGTTTGATCTCTCCAATTTTAATTCAATTTAGAAAATCTGGCCGTTCGTGTAACGTGAAACAAATTTCTCTGCGTCCTTGGGTAGGAAACGTAGCAGCTGACTTCCTGGAGGAGATGCTTCGAAAACCTCTCGATT